ACACTAAGAGATAAAATATTTTTGGTCTTTTACCGAAGGGTCACTTCGTTTGTCGTTTGCAGTCCTCAGCCATGATGGGTCTCTTCTATGTGCATATTCGCACTAGCACTTCGTGGAATGAATCTGTCCATAATTGTGGCAAAATGCATTCAGGAAAGTACTGGTGCAAACGATGATGTCCTGAAAGGTCATCCTCGGGATATCTGTTAGAATTGGAATTGTAGCGAGCGATACGGAGAAGCTTAGCTTGGCCGCTGTGCATCCCATGATGATGCACACAAATCGAGAAATGATGTATTCATTTTTTTTCCGAGTCAGGCGCCTGATTGTTCATGTCTGGCCTGCATGTTTTTGCATTGAGGCGATCTTTTCTAGGTCACGATCCTGGCACTTCTCACCGTCTCCTTCTCTTTTCTTTTAACTTTCGTGTTTCGGGCAGGAATCTTCTTCGTAATTGTGGCACAATGCATTCAGGAAAGTACAAGTGGGATGCAAAATGATGGTGCCCCGAGTGTTATGTCTTCCTAGTGGGCAGGTCATGTGTCGATTCATCCAAGAAGATTGTGAATGATGCAGCGGTTGACCGCAGCCTACAGCAAAATGAAATGTCAGAAACTTGCTGTTGATTTTTGAAACGTATTCACTGTATTTAGCATTGGAGTTATTTTGTATAATTAGAATGCGAGAGCAGTGTTAACCCCCTTCCTTCTTACGTACCCCCAACGGGATCCCTTGGCCCCAACATCAATCAGCTCTTGCCAGCAGAGGGGTTCACACAAAGTCATTGGCTAGATTCCAAGGCATGATGTGTATAGATGTCATGTGCATTTGTGTGCATTTGTGTGCATTTGTGTGTGGGGTGTGTGTGGGGGGGGGTGGTTACACTGTTGCCACAACCACCCCCTTTTTCCACTTACATGAGTAGGGGGTTCACACAAACCCGGTGGGTGGGTTCCAAGGCATGGTGTGTGTGTGTGTGTGCGTGTGTGTGTGTGTGTGTGTGTGTGTGTGTGTGTGTGTGTGTGTGTGTGTGTGTGTGTGTGTGAGAGAGAGAGAGAGAGAGAGAGAGAGAGAGAGAGAGAGAGAGAGAG